ATGCATCTTGTCTGAGTAGGATGTCTCTTGGAGGTCTGTGCTGTATGAAACAAAGTATTTAGAGATTTGATATAGTAATCTCGGCGAGAATTCGGCATGGAATTCGTTGCATGTAATTGCCTTTTATTTTCTCTGTATCTCTCGTGTCTCGATAGCGCGTATTTTTCCACAAGCGACAGAATCCTACTATCTTGCAAGACCCAAAGTAACTGCAAGATTCAAAGTAGCTTACCAGATTTGTCCTTGTTTCCTGCAGACCGCGCGATCGTCGTAATCGAGCCTTGAGGAGCCGTTTTCTCCAGGATTTCTCGTTGAATGCTGTCAAGGACAAAATTTCAAGGATGAATTCGTTACTTCAACTCACTTCTATGCACTTCTACGCGAATTAAGTTACGAACTTCAAAACGCGCACGCGCACTTCGAAATGAGCTACGAGTATAACTCTGTTTGGAAAATGGAAAGTGCGCTACAAACGCCATTTGTGTCATAATATCCTTGTCTCACGTTTAATGGACGATAAAGATAGATTAATAACACAAATAGTGCTAATAGCGTCTTCCTCCCAACGCAGCCTATAAGTACGTACTCACGCACGCGAAACAAACTGGCTAGATAATACATCAAGAGCCATCTGTGAGAATTTCAAGGAACACGCGATGTCTATATTGAAACATGGCGGCACCCTTGGTTGCGATATTATTAGCTTAACCTTTTCAGCAGCTGAGTGAAAAAAAATTCCATCATATCTGTAAAGAATCATTAATAGTAATGTGTTTTCATGAATTTAATAATAATAAACGAAATATACACTCCGAAAAATACTGTACATACCGACATAATTAATAGACGTTAGTTCAATATCACGAATTACAATATTAATATATTACAAGAATGTCTGTATTACGTGCTGCGTTTTTCACTTGTCATAATAATGGCTCTATTATTCCCAGGTAATTATGAATTACTTATGTCTCTAATTGTGTCTATAATTATATCGCATAAATCTGTAAAGAAAAAATATGGGTATAAAAATACATAAACATGATAAAAATAATAAAGAATGTTATACATGCTGCATTATATATTCACTTGTCACAATAATGGCTCTATTATTTCAAGATAATATAAATTATTTTTGTCTCTAATTGTGTCTAATTATACCATACATAAATCTCTAAAGAGAAAATATGAGTATAAAAATATATGAATATGATATATAAAAATCCTATATTTAGAATTAGAATGATCTAAGAATAATAAGCGTATTATTTTGATACTATGTTGAATTAATTTTTATTTAATTAATTTCAGGTATTCCTTGCAGAAGTGTTTTTTGCAAGGAAGAGGCCAGAACTTATGGGGGACAACAAAGCGTGAATTTAGTAAAATTATTCAAAGATGTGCCAAAGAAAATGTGAACAAGTCAAAGCTTTTCTCGTACATTCAGAAATTTGGTTTCAGCGGGCTTGGTGTAACGGTTGCTTGTATTTTAAAATCACATAATCGAATTGTGCTCTGTAAAGAAGCTAAAAAAATAAGTGACATAAGTCTAGTCAATCCGGATAACCCTGACTTGATCTTTGAATGGACAAAATTTTTTAAATATTTATATCCACATATCTGGTATTTATTATTAGCACTATCAGTAAGTATTTATAGATATGCAAAAATAATTGATAAATCTCATATTATTGCAAATGATGTACTGACAATCTCCATATTTCTAGAGTGCATTAATAGTTGCATTGTTAAATATACAAATACCGCAATGCGTTGGAAGTGTCATAAATGTACTAACTGAAATATGTCAAAACAAAAATGATTCTGCAAAACAAGTCATTTTACAGCTTACTCAACCAGCTTTTATTTTGGCACGTATGTATATTGCGCAAGTACGTAAAATAATTACAATATTTTTTTCGATATCTTTATGAAATTCCACATACTTGTCTCTAAATATCTACTTATTTATATTTACTTTTAAGGCATTTTTTACTTTTGCATATATTTATACTCTGTCACACGTTGGTGAAAGAGTTGCAGTGAGCTTACGTCAGGATTTGTTCAAGTCCATTATTATGCAAGACATAGCGTTTTTTGACAAAACGCATTCTGGTGAAATAGTAAGTCGATTGACCAGTGATATTCAAGATTTTAAAAGGTCATTTAAAATCTGCATTTCTCAAGGCTTGAGAAGCTTCACGCAAATTATTGGTTGTATCGTCTCTGTAATAGTGATATCACCGAAATTGACCACTCTTATGGTATTCAGTTTGCCTCCAATAATTTTTATTGGTACTCTGCTGGGAAGAAGTTTGCTCAAGCTGTCGATGGAAGCACAAAATCAAGTTGCAAAGTCTATAGCCGTCTGCGAGGAAGCTATACAAAACATCCGAACGGTATTTTAAAAATAATAAACTGAAAAAGATGTGAAACAATATTAATACACTGCATTTTCTTTTTTTTTTATCAGGTGAGAGCCTTCGCCGCGGAGGAGAAAGAAGCAGAAATGTTTTACAAAGAGATTGAACGTTCGTCTGATCTGTACGAACGATTAGGTTTCGGTATAAGCTTCTTTCAAGCAGGAACGAATTTATTACTTAACGGCATTCTACTTTCCACGCTGTACTTTGGTGGGCAATTACTCTCTACAGGACAATTGTCTCCTGGAAATCTCATAGCATTTTTAATGGCTACACAAACCATACAAAAGTCTTTAGGTCAATTGTCAGTGCTTTTCGGAACCTTTGTTAGAGGACAGAGTGCTGGGGCCAGGGTTTTTCAGGTAATTTATAATATATATTCGGATTATACAATTTTATATTAACTTTTCCTGAATTAAAAATTATAATTATATTCTTTTTAGTATTTAGATATGCCGCCTTCGTCAATGATGATTGGTGGTGACATAATCGCGGATAAATCTCTGGCGGGGAATATAGTTTTCAAAGATATAAATTTCAGCTATCCCACTAGACCTGATCACGTTATTTTGAAAAATTTTAATTTACACATTCCCGCTGGGAAAACTGTGGCTATTGTCGGTACTAGTGGTAATGGAAAATCAACATTAGCTGTATTATTAGAAAGGTATGATCTTACAACAATCATGTATATTTGAAGTTTAAAAATTTATATCTAAAATTGTACAGATTTTATGATGTTGATGAAGGCTCCATCATTATTGACGGTCGAGATATCAGATCCCTTAATTCAAGTTATCTCAGAGGCAATGTTTTGGGCTATATCAATCAAGAGCCTACTTTATTTGCTACCAGCATTATGGAAAATATTAGATATGGGAGACAAGACGCAACGGACGAAGAGGTAAAAAAAAGAATTGAAATTAATATTAATATATTGATATATATACAAAATATTTTACATAATTTGATCAATTTAGGTCATCGAGGCAGCTAAAGAAGCGAATGCGCACGAATTTATAACTAAGTTCCCAGACAGCTACGCGACCGAGGTTGGCGAAAGAGGCACTCAGCTCTCTGGCGGACAAAAGCAACGAGTTGCTATCGCCAGAGCCTTATTAAAACAACCATCTGTTTTAATTCTAGATGAAGCAACAAGGTAGGAATAACAAGATTATATGAGATTTGTCTTGGTACTTATCTATTTGTCTGTGTTTTTAGTGCATTGGATTATGAAAGCGAGAGAGTCGTTCAAAAAGCAATTGAAAATGTTACAAAAGGTAGAACAGTTCTTATCATTGCTCATAGGTTGAGTACCATTAAGGGAGCTGACGTAATTGTCGTGTTACAACGTGGTGTCATTGTGGAGGTATGCTTTAATCGATAAAATTAACGTCATGTTTTTATTATATAAATATATATAATACATAAACAATAAATATTTTTTAGATGGGCACGCATTCAGAATTAATTAAACGGAAAGGAGTATATTACACGCTCGTTAACGAACAAGAAAAAGAAAAGTATCGCTCGCACGCAGGAAGAAGTCTTTCTGGCGTGATTTTAGATTATTTTCCAAATTTCCGTTCTTAGATTTGATTAACTTTTTAACGTTAGTTTTCTCATTGCTACCTCAATAAAGACTAACTAAATAAAAAAATAGGGACTCACTGTGTCTGACACTGACTGACCAACATATCAGAAACCGGTTTTTAAATTATCAATCATAATGTTTGCGATATGGTGTCTTGTGATTAGGGTGAGCTTCCTAATTTTCGGGATAATTAATTTTAATTTTAAAGTTTTCTGATACATTAGTTTTCCATTTTCTCTTTTTGATATTTTCAAAATTCCTTTCCTTCTTTTTTCTTTCTTTCATTTTTATCCGAGTTTAATTTTGGCAATTATATTCTCAATGCGGGGGAGCTCACCATGAAAAGTTAATTTTTGTTACATTTTATATATGTGAGAGTTTGTTGTCTCTGAAGAAGGCTAAAAAATGAGCCTTCTTCAGAGACATATAAGCGCGTTTATTAAAAAATGAAGTTTTACGCTTTGTAGTCGTATTATTTACGTAACGTCTTACGCGTTTGACTCCTATTGCCCATGTTCTTTCCTAGTTTTTTTGATCTATAAGGAGTCTTGTTAGTTTGATTTGTTATACGGACTAGAAAAAGAAAACATGTAATAGTAATAAGAACATAGAACAAATTATATTGTACAAATGATTAATGTGAAACGATAAGAGGATATTATTTGTTACTATTTTCCCGTTTTATAAAATAATTTTTTCTTTATATCTCGATGTATATACATATACAGGAAAATGGATTTATATATTATGTAAATTGCTCGCGACTACCTCAGAAACGGGAATCAAATTACAAATCATACAATAAATTATTATTTTATCTACACCTTTGCATTATATACATGGATACACCTTTTAACAATGACATAATATCTATATAGTTTAAATAAAAAATTATATATAATTTATGAATTTATTTAAGATGTATGTATTTGTTTATAATTAGAGCATTTTATTCAGTCACAAAAACAGGAGATACTTCCGTGCTATCCTTATTACTTTGCATTACCAGATCTGTGTCTGAAATAGGTGACTCTTGCATAGAATGTATTGTAGTTGCAATATCACTCCTTGCGGTTACTTCTTTCTTAAATCAAAGTTAAATCAAAGTGGATCCCGTTGTTGGTGTTAAATATAATTCATCAGTATTGTCGAGTAAATACCGAGCAGAAACACTTTCGCCTCCATTTGGCACAAATAAACTAGCATCTGCAAGTTTACTGTCTATCGCAGGAGTAGCTTCGGATAATCCTTCCGTGGTAATTTGATCAACAGCTGCTTGTGACGGCAAAATGGCAAGTGTCGACGGAGAAGATAATACATTAGAATCATACATCGGACTATCTGTGATTGAATCTGTATTGAAATTTGATGTGCTGTCTTCGTTATTTCTGTACTGTCCCGTAGCTGCATCTTGCATTTCCTCATCTATCTTCGATGACATGCTGCTAATTGGAG